TACAAGTATTTATAAATAGCTGTCTACGCAAGATACTCAACATCCACTGGCCGGATACCATCAGCAATAGCCTTCTGTGGGAGAGAACAAACCAACTTCCAGCTGAAGAAGAAATTAGGAAAAGACGATGGAAATGGATAGGACATACATTACGCAAATCGTCAAACTGCATCACGAGGCAAGCCCTAACTTGGAACCCTGAAGGGGAGCGAAAAAGAGGAAGGCCAAAGAACACATTGCGTCGGATAATAGAAGCAGATATGAAAAGGATGAATTACAACTGGACGGAGCTAGAAAGGATTGCCCAGGACAGGGTTGGATGGAGAATGCTGGTGAGTGGCCTATGCTCCTTCACGAGGAGTAACAGGCGTAAGTAAGTAAGTTTATTCAAGATACAATATTCTTGTATTAAATTAACGTCAACTATGCTCAGTATGACGTGTAACATGTATTTTTTTATACATGTGATTTCATCCTAAGTAGTTGTGAAATAGGTGTACAAATCAATATATAAATGAGTGCATTTTCGACTAGGGTCGTCGTCGTCTTTTGAGTTTAACAAATCCTACCTTGTATCAATCTTGGTGTTCTTACTTCGCATCGTGGGAATCGCAGTGGTTCGTTGTTTTACAAATATGAGCACTAATCGATTCCAACATAAATTGGCAACTCAGCCATAACAATCACTGAAGGCCAGATATAACAAGCACGAAATGAAATTCAATAATAACATCAGTTTTCAGTATTTTTAAATTAATAAAGTCGAATATTATTTAAAGTTGACTTGGAGAATTTCTGTGAAGTGTCTTAAAGAACAAACTTATTAGCTTACTTTGAAAAAAAGGCTGGAACTGATAATTAATGGAGAATGGGTAAAAGGAGACTTATTGAATGACACTTTATTGGAGACCATAAGATGTAGGTGGGGAAAGAATGCCGTTAAATGAAGAATCTTGAATTATGTTTACTGAATAAAAAAATTATTAGATCTATGAATCAGAGAACAAACGATATAAATAATTATGTACATTACAACTAATATATTTAGAATCTTAAAGACATGTCTGCTTTTTCAAAAGACATGGGTTTTTTCGGATAAATGTGGATTTTACTTATCAGCGACTTTCACTAAAACTAGCTGAAATTCGTGGTTTTGTCTCTGAAGTTCAGGTTAGTTTATTGAAATGTCTGATAACCTCACGAAGGATTTAGTAGGCCGATACGAAGTAAAGCTTCTGTTATGATACTTGTCAACTATTCGGTACCATTTATATAGTATAATTTGTTTTCAATCGTATTTATATTGATTTATAGGATGCTCAATAATTATTTTTTCTTCATTTCTTCAGCACAAGGCTGTTTTGTATGCTTCATGAGTTTGTATTCTGACGGTATTTTTCTTTTAAATTATTACCTTAATGAAAAAAATCAAAGGACTCCCCTGCAGATATAATCTTTTATTGGACAAGAGGAAAAAGGAATAATGTTAGCTGTTGTTGCATTTAAAGGATTTTATCAAAATGTATTCACGTACTGTGTTGTTGTCTGATAAGCGTTACTTAGTGACTCGAAACCCTGTCACTACACTTAACTGTTAAAAAACAACTATTCACATACTATTTTGGACATGTTGAATTCCGTGTCACTGTGATTTTAAACAACTCGATGATATAGTATAATCAATACTTAACTAGATAATTTGGGTTAATGAACTGATCAAGGGAACAGGTAAACAAAATAACCTACTAAACGAAACATTTTGCATATAAGTTTCTATTTTCAAAAAATCACATACCTCGTAAGCCCTGCGTTTTTTCATATCTCAGTAGACTCACTTTTATAACAGTGACGTTTTTTTTATAATATCGAGGAAATGAATAATCTTTTTATCTATTCCCACGCCATTAACAAACTACAGATTTCTGTTCTATTAAATGTTTATACGACTAATGAGTAGTATAAAACTTACAATTAAATTATAATGCGGTAACGAATAATTCTACGATTTTCTTCATTGTTTTTTACTTTTTTTACAGCAAAATATAAATAAGTAGCTAATGAAATGAAAGGAATTGCCAAAATTATTGGAGTATAAATAAAAACGTTCGCTAGCGCTACAATTTACGCTAACTAAATTTAATTTATGGGGATAAAGTAATTTAATTCACTGAAATATTGTTTTCAGTATAATAATTTATTATATAATTAAGGTTGTTTCAATTTTAAAAAATTTATATGCCGTTAACAATACAGGAACGAACATCATTTTATCTGTTTATACAATGATGCTTAATGTATGAAAACATTAAGTAGGACACTGTATGTATATATATAAACTATCAATGCTCAGATGATTTTATGTTTTATTAGATTTTAGAAATGAAAACAGAGAAACAATTACTAATAAATGGGTAAGTAAATAAGTTATTTCAACGATGACGAATGCTATGAGAACTGGCTAGTTTTTTTAATATAATGCCTACCAACAATTTTTACTTAGTTTAATATTAATCCCGTTTAATGGTGCCAAATTATTGGATTCTATTTCACTAATAAAAGGTTGATACCTATTATAAAATCATAAGAATTAACACTTAATTCCGTGTGAGATCTTGAGTTTAATTTACTCATGTGTACTGATTTTGTGACAAAAAATCTATCGAATAGTCGTTAGTTTTCTATAAATCATTATCTAATGCTCATTCCTAAAAAAATCTGTTGCTAAATTAAACGAATCTTTATCAAAGAAATCAGCTAAATAAAGTTTGTCTTTACGGTTTTGTACGTTTATTATAGTTTCATCAGTGTGCGCGAAATTCATTGTTTAAAGTAAATAATATTTTTAGTGTAGGTTTAACAGTTTAGAATTTTGTTTATTTCCAAAGGATACAATACGAAATAAATAGTTCTTATTGTTCATGATTGTGTTTAAGTACTACATTGTTTTCTTATTAATATAAAAGAATTCTCTTAGTTTACCCTTCAGCGTTTTAATTTATTCTTTTTTCTCTGGTGAATTATGCTTTTTTCAGTGTTCAGGGAATTGTATTATTCAGCTGCGTTGATAAAAAGAGTTTTTCATGTTTCAGGGTCGGCTATGTAAACAGTTATCACCATTTTTGATAAGACAATAATAATGTTATTTCCATTTGATTAAACATCTAGTTTTCTGTTTTATTATTTTTATTAGTTCATTGGATTAATCCAGTAATTTTACATATTCATATCGTTATTTATCTAAATAATAAATTTTTGTTATCTTCCTTCTTAACCAAATGTTTAGGTCAATGTTCTTCTTTCTTTTTGTTTTATTCTCTTCTTAAATACGTATTTGACAAGGTGTATTTTTGTAAACGTATTACGTAATTTGAAATAACCTCGTTTTGTTGGAACATTCAGTTTCAAAGTGAAAAAAATTGTGTACAAGTAAGACACTTTTTAATGTAAATTATTTTCCAATAAATTTGTCAAATGTCTTCCCATATTAGGAATATTTTAATGTGTTAAGTTGGTGAAATAAAAATACACTAAATAGAGTTTTGATGAAATAAAATATTATGGGAGTTACTCAAATAATTAGTTTCCTTCCGTTATCATGTCATCAAATAGTTCAGGGTATGTCTTCATTTACATCACCAATTGGATTTGAAGATGATTCTGTAATTTCGTTGACCTATCCAATTTACATATTCATACTATTGGTACTGGGTTAGTAATCTAGGGTTGAATTGCTCGCTGTGATACCAAAAGCTCTTGGGTCCACTCTCAACAGAGATTGTAAGTGAACATTGTCTTGGAATTTAATACAAGAGCGAAAAAACCTTCCACTGCTTCCTGAATTTGAGTGTTCTTTAGGATCAGTTCGTGATGTAAGTGATGAGATCGTTAATAGTAACTAAAACCAATTAAATGAACGATCCGCAAAAGTTATTTTCATTCTAAGTTAGCTGTTTGTATAAACTTACAAAACTATGTCGTAAATTTAAAAGTGTTGAAGAAAACTGAAGGTACTCTTATTGTAACCTGACCAAATAAATATATGCTCTGATATAAAGCTAAAAAGCAACTGTTAAATAAGAAGGATTGAAAAATGTACAGAAGAAAGCATCATTAGATAACAATTAGTTAAACACTTGGGTAGCAAGAAATTTAGATTATACTTCTTGACTAAAATATCTATACCATTCTACAATAAAACAGATTGTATAAAAGTTTGTTATTCATGACTAGTTAGAGAACTTGTGATATAAAAAATTGTATTTTCTCCAAATTTTTTTCTTTCAGGTAGAAATTTAATTAATGTCATATGATTTATCTGTTTTGAGTAGTTGGATTAAAAGTAGTAGCTTAAAGTTCTAAAAAAAAACTCATTTAAAAATAAAATGTATATTTATATTGACTGGTAATAAATATCATAAGGAGTTTTATGGATATTATAGTAATTTCATTGGTTGAGATCATGAGTCAGTTGAAGCTAGACCACCATGGAAAACCTAGAAGCATTGGACGGCTATTTCATCCTATTGTGAGACTCCTCAACGGTAAATTTGTTTAAGTGACGAAATGAACTATTTTGGGTGCACACTGCTGAGGAGTCCCACCATATGAAAAAAGACAACAATTCAGTGCTTCCAGGTTTTCCATGGTGGTCTAGCTTCAATTGACTGATGACCTCAACCATTGAAATTAATAATAAATATTTAAGAAAAATTAACCAATCACAAACGCTATCGAATAATTTTATTTTGATTGGTTACTTAAATTGCTACTTACTTATCAAACATATATCTATTATTAAATTAAACTAAAACATATATAAGTTAATAATTTGAAATGGAATGAAAACAAACAACATACGATAACAACAACAACAACAACAATATAGAACATTGAATATATTGTTTATTTAATGAAGATATTTATGGATTATTAATCATGAGACAAAATAACAATGAATTAAAATTTTGTTAAACCATAATTTTCTTTTTTTTGTTTTCATTATGAATCAAACATTTATTAATTTAACAAATTTACGATCAGATACAAATTTAACATTATATGGAGAAAATAATATTGAAATTTATAGTGCATTTTTTGTACAGACAACAATATGTATTATTGGAGCAATATTAAATATAATAAATGTAATTGTATTAAGTCATAAACAATTTGAAGCTACACCATATTTATTTATGACAGCATTATCTTTAACTGATACTGGAATATTACTTGTTCATTTACCATCTGGTTGGGCAAGGTAAATTGCATATATGTATAGTTTGGTTTGTAATAAAAACAATGACTGTTATCAATTCAGGAATTCGGATATAGTGTAGTTAAATTCCTGGAATTATTGATGATTACTATTTTGTCTATTTCACTGAGACATTAAATTGTATAAAGCAATAACTAGAATATTTCATTGTAGTGTGATGCAAGTTTTATTGTGTTTACTACCTCAAAATCGCTACTAATTAAATCAGTAATATTCATAACTAGATGACGTATTTATAGATACTATTTATAATTCATCTTGCTATACTTCATCATATCTTTTTAGGAAGCTGTTATTTAATAGTGTTTTAATGATTAAACGATTAATGTTATTTTGATAAAATGAAATATAAACATGGAGCTTCTGAAGTATTAAGATTTAAAACTCATTTCCTTTAATAATTTATGCACTTAGAAGTGAGTTATAATAATTTAATGAATCTTTTATCAATTTAGTAATCATTTTGGCTTAGTTATGTCAATCATTAGCTGATTAGATGAAGTTAATGTAGAATCCTGGAATATAATGAATTAACCTTTTATCCTTAGTATATCTATATATTTGTATAGAAATATACAGGAAAAACTGAAGATACAGCCCTCAGATTAAATTATTGTATGTTGGAAATCACTTCAAAATATATGGTAAATTATTAATTTTACGACCTGAAACTATTTAAAAATATAATCACTTTATTTTAAATAATATTTAAGAGGATTATCTTTAAATAAAATAGGAAAAAAAATGGAGGGGAAATTAGATAGATAAAAATGTTTTTATGCTAAAATACATATTATGTAAGTATACTTCGTTGGATTACTAACTGGATTAAGAGAGAATTTCAATTCACCAAATCAAAAATAGTTATGAAAAATCAATTTCCAGTGAAAAGCGACCAGTACTGCGTTTCCATTTAAATGCCAATCAAGAGAAATTAGGTCATATAAACTAGTTTGAATGTGATATATTTAAAATAGTATACAAAATAGAACTGGGCATTTGTTTGATCTACCAGATTATTTATAAGTAATAAAAGATGAGTTTTGAAAAGAATATTTATTACTTAATTACGACTGCTACCTCTCATAGGCCGCTCACTAGCACTCTCCAACTAACCATGTCTTTTACAGTTGTTTCCAGTTCCTGTTCATTTTTTTCATTTCAGCTCCCAGTTCTCGGCTCAGCGTGTTGCTTGACCTTCCACTTTTTCATTCCATTTCAGGGTTCAATTTAACACTTAACTCGTGATGCAGTTTGACGATTTCCACAATGTGTGGCATATCCACTTCCAACACCTTTTCCTAATTTCCTCTTTAACTGGCGGCTCATTTGTTTTCTCCCACAGTAGGGTGTTGCTGATGGTATCTGGCCAACGGATATTGAGTATCATGCGTAGACAATCGTTTATAAATACTTATACCAATTCGGTGATGACTATGGTGGTTCTCCAAGTTTCAGTCCGGTGAAACCCATGTAGCTTTGTGTATGAGTTTGTGCGGAAACATTGTTCCGCTTATAATCAGTTTGTCGAATGCACATAGATTTGCAAACCTCTCTTCATTCTCGTTCTTTTCTCTCAGTCAGTCCATGTCAACCCACGATATCTTCATATTAGATGTTGTCCATTCCAGTTTTAGCATTTCGATCTATCAGGTTGGTCAAGTCGTTTCCTGGACGCTCCTTTAAGGTTGACTGCAGCCTCTTGTAGAACTGATCTTTATCGTTTTTGTTGCTATTATTGGTGGGTGCATAACATTGGATGACATCCATTGTGATTTCCACCTTCTTTGTTATGAAGGATTCTTCGACGATTCTGGATCCATTAGTTCCCCGTCCGGTAGGTGCTTATGGTGCCAGTTTAGACAGCATCAGGGTAGCTCACTGAGCGTGAGGAGCATTGTCTTCTTCGTGATTGGAGTACAGAAGCATCTCTCCCTTAGTTTTGCTGTCCATTTCGGGTCCAGTGATTTCCTCTGATACCGAGAACCGCCAATTTGTATCTTCTCATTTCTGTTGCTATTTGACTGTTGTTTTTGGCCTCCTACATTGTTCGGACATTCCATGTCTTTATTTTAATTGTTGCTCTGGTTGTGGGAATTGGGCGTCAGCATCTTGACTACTGAAGTATCTAGGCTTTCATCATGAGGCATGATAATTCTTCCTTAATCTCGGAGAGTACAGTTGAAATGGTTTAAATTGTTTAATCTGGTTTGCGTATTTTTAGCAATGTTGTTTTCTTCGAGACGGGGTTGCCAACCACTCACCCTTCCCTCCTCCTTTGTGTGGGCTTGGGAAGAGCTACAGGCGGAGTGAAATGATTATCGTAATGATGTCGAAAAGAAAAGTATGATTTATTTTTACTTTGTTTAAAGCAACCTTGAAATAAATGTGAATTGGGTAACAGTTTATTTGAAGTATCATGACTTCAGATACAGTTTTAACAGATTTTCAGAAATCCACTAGCTGTCATTAGTGCCATTTCAACCGTGTAGCTTTTTATTAGTGAGTAGTGCATAACTAAGTGCATAAACTGGTATTCTCTATATGTGGATGTAGAGTATTTTTCATCCATTCTTTTGCATACTACTAATGATAAATTCTGTTGTTTGATCTACATTGACTAAAGTTCATTATCAGTATATATAACTTAGTTACCAGGTTATTCATTCAGTACTACAAACGGTATTAAGTATTTCATCAGTCTGTGACAATATCTCTCTGTGAGTTTCATGCTTGTTGATATATATCAATAAAGTTCGTCTTCAACTTCAACGGGAATCGCTGATATTATGGTAGTTTGTAACCGTCTAATAGTTCTGTTCGAACTTTGGGTCAAAATTTTAAATTCATTTGATTTCCGTGGTATGTTTTAAAATAAACCATTGACAATCTACTACTTATTGTAATGTAGATCAAAGAGAAACTATCGGTACATAATCCGTTTAGTAAACTAAGGTAGACTAACTTATTCAGCGATTACTTATAATAGAGTGATGAGCGAAAATCTGGGCTTTCAAGAAGACCGAAAATCAACACAATTCAGTTGATAAAGCTGTGTTTTATCATTATCATACCAAAAATTTAGACGAACCTGTATATGACGTCATAACCAATTATAGATTCATACAGTGATGTCAATTACGATTTTTGTATTAGTTTTTGCCCCTTCCGTCATATCCCGACGAGAGTTATTTACGGATATTCATGTGCCCCTTATTATAAGATTTATTTTGATCCATAGACTTTTATACGATTTAATGTTCTCGAGTTCTGTCCAGTTTATTAATTATAGTCTCCCACATTTACAGCCACTTTTGGCCAGATCTTGTGCAAATGTTATTTTCTATTTTATGGTGCGATGCGATCTGTTTGGTTTGTATGTAAACCCAGCATGTTTGAAAATACATGATTAATATTGCAGAGGTTGAGATTGGTGTTCTGGACGTAACAGGTAGGGCTGTGCAGGAAGAAGGACCGATAAAGATTGTAGACTGCTCGTACGGATTTACGCGTCATTGATCCGGTCGATAAGTCACTGTTCCCTAATTGGCTGTATCGTAAAGTTATATATTAATAGGACACAAGGCCACAAGCTGTAACACTTTCATTAAAATTTAACTAATCAAATATATATCTTATGCTCATAAGGCTACAACTGAATGTTAACTACCTAAATTAAAATTGGCTTACATAAAATGGTCTTTGTTCACTTTCTTGATCTGATTGCTTTACCGGTACAAGTGGCCGACCTAACAACAGCCGACGTAATGCTATATTTTCTTCTCTCAATCGTTGAATCCGTGCTTTTAGTTCAGTAATTATTCGAATTGGTTGTTGACTGACCAAATCATTTGTACCATTTTTATTATGATTTAGTGAATATAATAATTGATGAATAGATGAAAGATCTTTATGCTTTCTAAATATATCATGTAGAATGAATGTGAAGACAGATTATGTTAAATTAAAATTCACATGTTTTCACTGCATAGACATTTTGTTCATCTTAATGTGTATTTCAGATCTCTACTCATACATAGTAGGGACGTATTTTTAATATTCCCTCATCAGGTTAACTAAACTTGATCACTAACATATAGCCTTACAGTAAAAGTGATTTCTGTAGTATAGTTGTCTATTAAGACTTTTGTGTAGAAAGTTACAAGTTGATTATTCTAGGTGTCTTTGAAGCATTATTCGTTCAAGTCGGAAACTCTGATTAGTCAAGCAACTTCTGGGTTATATGTAGTCATAGATGGTCATTACAAGTCACTTAAAAATTCAAACCTTTGTTGAGTGATATAGTTGGAAAATGTGTAACACATATCTAGCCAACATGTACACCGTCACCTTATGCTAGCTTTTATGAAATCAAGTTCTAAAAAGCCTTAAAATTACAACTTAATCAGTGATTTTTGCAATGGTTTTTATGACTATACACTAATCATAACACGACCCTTCTGTTTTTGTCAATATTTATCGTAACGATAATATTCACCTTTAACTGTATATTTGCAAATCAAGTATTAAAAGGATTACTCTAGGAAATGTATTTATTCCAAATTATTTCTTATATAAAGTTTTAAGTTGGTCAGCTAGAATTTTCCATGATGAAATTCATTAGTTATTAAAGTAATAGGGAAAAGTCTGTTAGTTATCTTTTTGAATAACGGGATTTATATAAATAAATAATTTTTTATTTAGTTCAATCAGTGAACTTTTTCGTTTTTTACGTTCCTTACGACTTTAGGAACTTCTCATTCGGTCAGATGATATACATTTACTTTATTGACTGAGGTTAAACAATGGTATGTAACGTTTTATATCGATTTCTTAGTTAAATTCTTCAATACGTTTTCTAGGTGATAGCAAAAAGTAATAGAATAATGTAAAACCAGAAAGTGTTCTGAATTAACTGGTTTAATAGTAAGTCGTTTAGTCGGTTCAAATTACTATCTCAACAAATATGTATTTAAATTCAC